TTTTTTTGGAAAATTTGACACATCCTTTGTTAATGTAAGTCAAATGATTCACATGTTCATTCATTCTGCAATTACACATAAGAAAGAATGAGACCACTGAAACTGTTCCAATTTATTAAACTAGAAACTTATCAAAACAAACAGTAAATAAAATTTTTCTTTCTACTATAGCCATATGAACTAACAAAAAATATTATTAAACAAAATTTTTATTTCTACTATAGCCATGATGAACTAACAAAGAATATTATATATTGTATGGCTATGAGAACAAGGAATACTCACACAAATATATACTGAATTGAAAACAAGCCAACTTTCACCATAAAGCCTCTGATTCTCCATAATTTGGTTCTAAAACATAATATTAAAATGAAGTTAATCTTATAGATAACTTCCCCTCCTCCCAAACAAAAAACTTTAAAAAGTGTGGTATCACTATGATTTTTGATGTCTTCAACTGAGATGTTTCATTGTATAGTGTTAAGGGGGGTGTGTGTGTGTGTGTGTGTGGTTTGTGAAGCTTTTATGTTTGTGTGTAACTGAATCTTTTTGTAAGAATTATTAACAGTTTGGCAGAGCAAAGGGGAAAAAAATCTGGTTTCTGAAAGCTTTGTTAAATAGAGTATCCACAGCAATTGTTTCTTCCCTGCTTCATCTTCTTTGGAAGCTCTACTCACACCAGTGCTGCCTGGCTTTAGCAATCACAATTCTAAGGGTGTAGTGCAAACAAACACTCCTTCAACCTCACAAATAAAGAGTTAAACTTTCCAGATCTGTAACATTTTCTTTCAGCAAGGCTTCCCTATGATGCTAAAATGGTATAAATTAGGGATTCAGAAAACAATAAGAGGGAAACTATTTTTCATCAGTAACTGAACCACACTGAAAGAAATATGAACTGCTGAGCTAAGGTAGTCAACACATTCTCCAACAACACTCCACTAACTCAATTAGTGAAATAAATTTTTTAAAATGCTATTATACCTAGTTGTAAAAACACAGTCAGGAGAAGAGGCCCATCATGTGTTTTCAAGGTGAAGAATACTAACTTAGAAGACAGGTTTTCCAGCATTTCTTATTGTCATGGTAAGAGAGAACTGTATAATCTAAGAAATAAAGCCTTAAAGAATTTTGTGGGAAAAGAAACCTAGTAATCAAGCACAATTCTGAATAATTTGGTTTATTTTAAAACTCTCTTTTATTTTTGGGGAGAAAAATTATTTACAAAAATTTACCTGTAAGTAGAAAGGGTTTCAAAACATTTTTATTAAATGAAATAAACAAATTATGAAAACTGTCACAACCATAAAATGCAACCATAATTTGCTACAACAGTCAGAATAGCAGATTAGGTATTCTGTGGCTTACTATTTAGAGAAACTTAGAAAAATAAAGCAAAATTTAAAACTAAAGATTTTTTACTCCTTGAACTCTCCCCCACCATGGTGTTAAGACTAGTGTTTTCGTGGAGTAGAATAGTCACAAGATGAGAAGAAAAGAACACAACTTATTATATGTTGTTCTACATACGCATTTTGAAAACACAAGGGAAAAGGCATCATTCACCAAAGCACCTGATCACAAAGCAAATCTGTCAATAAAGGTTTAACCTTGATATATAACTGACCAATGATTCTGGTTCTGAACAAAATCATCAGAATTATCATCTTCAATCTTAGCCCCTATCTTCTCTTCATTCCCCAAATGTACCATAAGTAAAGGATTTATAATATTCACAAAGAGATACACATTTCCCATAATTGCTAAAAATAACGGTCTAGAGAACATTTGAATTGTGATAGTTTTCCAATCAGAATTTCAGGGATCAGCCCCTAGAGGAGAAAGTACTACCCCTAAAATACTATTTAACAGACAAGCCCAAATTTAGGAATAGAATTAGGATAGTCTGTCTGGGACCAGTTAATAATATGTCTATTTAAAGATCAAATCAAACTAAGTTCTCAATTTTAAAAGCCACAGAAGATATCCTTACTGTTGGTCAGATCAGCCAGAGAGGTAATGATTTTTACACAGGTTGTAAATGGAGCAGGGACTGGTTTTAAGGGTGAAGGACTAGGAGGAGATGGTATAATGAAACCTAAGGGGATGTGGAAGGTTGCAAAGAAAATAGGGACTTTCAGAACCAGTGGTCCTTCTCTCTCCACAACCTCTGAGGATTAGTTGATGAGTAACTTATTATCTGCTTGACAATTTAATAATGGTAGAAATATCAGATTTTTTTTTTTTTTTTACTGCCAGAACTACTTTAAACACATTCTCACCTGAAAGCCTACAGAGAAAGAAAGTCCTGACATGAACGAACTTAATGGCACTATCCTCCTCCTAAAATAAAAGCCACGAAAGAAAGGACCAAATAATAAGTGAAGAGAACGTATCTATGGGTCCACATATATTATCCCCAAGTTTAGCTTACAGATAATTTGACTATAAGACCCACCCCAACACACACTCCCCCCCCAAAAAAAATCAAGAATATGAAGTAAATAAGGAAAATCTATTTCATTTCTCAGTTCCACTTAGGGGTGTGGCAAGTAGAGGAGGGAGATGGGACAGGAAAGGACAACAGTACAGAACTAAGTCTCCCTTCAAAAGAAACTTTCCTTTGTTAAAGAATCCTGAAGACTATGTTGTCCTGATCCCTCTAGCCTTATCTTCTTCTAAACTCTTCTCTATAACATGAAAACTCCAACCTTTGCTTCCACCCCTTTTAGATGTTTCTAAACCACAAAAGCCCAAAAACTGTATTTTTGTTTCTAGTCCCATTCTGCACAGTCAGTGGTTGCACTCTGTACTCTAGAATCATGGAGACTTGAGCTGAAATCTGAGCTTCATCATTTACTAGATTAGTTAAATTTAGGGAAGTCTCTCAACTTCGGTGTGCTTCCTTCAGCTATAAAATGAGGATAGTAATAGCTCCTGCCTTTCAAAACTAATGTGAGAACTAAATGAAATATTTAATAAAACATTTAGTATAGTATCTGATATTTAGTAAATTCTCAATAAATGTTAACTATAATATATCCAAGATGATCCCATGTCTTAGCAGTTTTTCCAATGATGGGTTAAGAGAATCATAATCAACACTTTAAGAAAAAAAAAATCACTGAAATAAAAAATATCTTAACATAATATGTGTACAATTTCAAACAAAATTTCAGATACACTCCTACCCAATCACACACATATTTTGAACTTAGCCTGATGATTTTTTGTGATGCCTCTCCTAAGTAACTTTCAAACAAGAGCATAACACTTTGCATAAAACTCTACAATGCCTAACTACACTGTATGTTTATGTCTGCATCTCCAAATGGTCTAATATTCTCCCTATTCCTAGTGCCTAAAAATGCTGGAGGATCAGTAAATTCTTGTTGAATAAATCATCAAAACTTAATAGGGGGGCTGGGGATGTGGCTCAAGCGGTAGCGCGCTCGCCTGGCATGCGTGTGGCCCGGGTTCGATCCTCAGCACCACA